CCCAAAAAATTTTTTAAGGACTTTCAGAGGGAAAATTAACAGGAGATAACTGATAACTGACATCCATTAAACATGGCACGTGGAACTAGAACAGTCTACCCCAGTGAGCGAAATGAAGGGTTCAGTTCGACATTCCAACCACCTGAAGAAGGCCGGAACGTACAAAGGCCGAAACTTTGTAATAAATATGGCGACAAAGATCAGGACAATAGTCCGAATAATGTAAATAATGTTCATAATACCTCATCTCAGTAATGTAGACAAACATTTTGTAATGTTGTTTAGAATGGTGGTAAATTCACATCTATTTCCTACAATCATATATTTAAAACATTTTTTAAATTTTACCATAATGAGTAAAAATTCGTAAATATTGATATCAGCCAGTTTTTATTATTATTATTATTATTATTATTATTATTATTATTATTATTATTATTATTTCCTTAGATTTTATTTCCTTAGATTTTTGTTTCATACGCATTTCCTTCCTAAAGTCAAAAATAATATTATGATATTTTCCACTGGCCATTTTTTAAAAAAAAAAAAAAAAAAAAAAAAAAAAAAAAAAAAAAAAAAAAACAAAAAAATAAAAAAAACAAAAAAACAAAACTAAGATTACACATATTTTACATGGATTAATCTGTTCGTAATGTGGGAGCTGTACTTTAGAATACTTTTTTTTTATTCTTTAAGGCATGGGCTATCAGGAATGTCTTAAATGAGCCTATCAAAAGCTTTTCCAGTGAATCCGAGTGTTCCAAATATAATTGGTATTATTGATGCTCTCACGTGTCACATTTTTCAGATTTCCACTTCAAACTCCTTGTATTTTGATAGTTTTTTTTTTTTAACATTTTCAAAAATCCATTGCAATCTGCAGGGATTTCTATGCCAATAAGAAATCACATTCAACTTTTGGTATTTTTAATCACGATGCCAGGGCAATTAGCTTTGATTGTTCTGTGTGTATTGTGAAGTCCCATAAAATTGTTACAGATCCAATCTCTGTAATCGGATCTGGGTGATGTTCATTACAGTTTCTTTCAGTTTCCTTCTTGGCCCACCATATCATGCTGAATTTTATATTTAGTGGGTTCTAATACTGTGCAACCTGATATAATATGGTCAATTATTTCTGGATATTTATCATAGAATCTGCATTTTGGATTAACACAATTATTATTATTGTTATGGGATCTTACCCATAATAACATAATGGACTACTCCATACATAATAAAAACTGGGCCTCAAGAGGAAGCAGAGAGTTCAGTCCGAAGTCGGGCGACCGGTTTATACGGGTTCAAAGGGCATATTTTTGACGGAGCCCACTAGCTCGGAGATCCCACGTTAAACCGGCCTTTGCCACATGATGCCCTCGTGGTGGGGGGTGACTAAATACCGTTCCGTCTGAATCTGGAGTTCAGTCTGAAGGCTGGAGTGAAGTCCGTCAGGAGTCTGTCAGTCAGTCAGAGCGAGCGAGTCAGTCAGTCGAGTCAGAGGCAGTCCGAAACAGAGTCGCGTTCAAACAAGTACTACTAAACCTGATTGTTCTTACTAACACTTTCTACTTCTCTGTATATATTCCTGTTTGTAATATATCTGTGTTATTCCATATCCGTATTCGAGTTCTTCTTTATTGGTTCTACCTTGGACTATCACCGTGGTACAAGAAACCGGACCATAACAATTATTATTATTATTATTATTATTATTATTATTATTATTATTAATCAATTCATTCCAAGCAAAGTGACCATGTCATCTAAGACGCATGGGGCTACTGAGGGTGAAAGAGAATGAAAAGATTTTAGAAGGAACCCAATGCTTATACAGAAAAAAAAAGCATAAAACTCTTATCCGGTTCAAGAGAACTTGGACGAAAGTATTTATTATTATCATTATTACTATCTGCAGATTTGTATTCATAAAACTTTAGTTCCATTCATTGATAGGTTTCATAACGAAAGAAATACTTCTGGTAAGGGGATATCACAACTGCTTATCAATTCTGTAAATCACCAAGCGAAACCCACTCAAAAGATTAAAAGTTCGATGTCTTTGGCGTCTCGTTAAAGGTGAAGATCTATGGCAAAGTAATTGGTAAGAGTCGATTTAACCAGAGAAGAAATGAAGAAACCTGGGAAAATGCCATCATCAAAAATCATGTTCATTTGAAGATAAGATTTTCTTGATGTTTTGAGCCAAGAATGAAGAACTAGCGACGAAAAGAATTATCTTTCCCTAGACGAGAATAATAGAAGAATATTTTCTTCATCCAACTACTTTTTTCTTCATTAAAGCAGTAACAGCGTTTTGAAACGTCCACAAGCAAAGAGAACGGACTCGTTAAAACTGGAAAGAAACTTTTGTTCATGTGGTCGTCGAGTTTTGGCAAGAAATAAAAAATAATGAAAAAAAAAAACGTTTTGGCAAAGGGATAAAACAAATATCTGTCTCTCTCTCTCAATCTCTCTCTCTCTCTTTATACACACACACACATATATACATACATACATACATATATATATATATATATATATATATATATATATATATATATATATATATATGAATATAGCCAGCCTCTATCCTAAATAACAACTTAAAAGAGACCGGTTGACTAACACAAGGACTGACCAAAATTTACGATGAAAAAAAATAAAATAAAATGAAAATTACAGACAAAAGTTCATTTTCTTCATCAAGTCATTGATTGCTGTAGTTCACTACTACCAACTAGCAGATTTTTTTTCTCTCCTGATGATGGCCATGCTGGCCGAAACTAGTCGAAGAATTTAACTGAAAGGATAAAACAAAAATATTAATATAGAACCCAGAGTGTCTGAACATTTTAATTTTTTAATTTCTCAATATTTTTATTGTTCAAAACAAACAAACACACACATTTTTGGTGAAAATGAAATACATTTGAAAATCGAAAGCAATATGTTTGCTTTTTAAAGAGTTAATATGGAGTGGGGGCGAATCCAGATTTTTTGATCTTATGGGTGTGTCTCTTTTAACTAATCAGAAAGAAAGTCAACGCTAAATTTGAAAAGTTAAAAATATAGGTTAGATGTTGGGGGATGTATGGTATTCATACATGTCTCGAGGAACTGTTATTTTAACGGCTCGACACCTTACTTCCGACAAAAAGTGTACATTTAAGTTATGAAGACATATTCTTAGAATTTTTTTTTTAATTTTAACATATTTTAGAACAATCTTAAAGGGACTTTAGGTATGATCAAAACATTTTTATATATTTTTTAACCAAAATACAATTCATATTTTATTCATTATGCTTTCTTAATACTAAGCAATTTAGAATGTAAAATCAAGTAATTAAATTAATATTACATATACCATAATATATAATAAAATAATGGATATATAACTGTAATACTTTTCTGAAAATTCATTAACGATATTTTAACGTGAGCATTTTATAATGTCTACATGTGACAGTAAGCTCATTTCGCTGATTTAGGAGAATATTACTTTTAAGAAACTTAATAATGTATAGCTGTGTAGACACAGGAGAATGGGTCATTTAAGTGCTTACGTATTCTCGTTTTTTTAATATTTTCCATTTTACTGTGGGAGTTTTATTGATTTCTTTTAAATACCAAAAATATTTAGATAAGGATGTTTGGTTACGGTACATGTTGTTAAAGGAAGAAATATGCTGGTACCATCTTAATTTGAAAGAGTTTTTTTGTGCTACCAATATAATTTTTTTAATACCTGGGATTTCAGTAGATGAAATAGTATACTGATAAACAATAGATTCAGTAAGAAATTTATTTTCCATTGGACACTTTATAAGGTTTCTACAGACACATATTCATTATCGAATTTATTGATTTTCGTTTTGGAATTACTCTTTTTTTATTTAGGGTTAAACGTCGAAAGCTATCATGACGGATACCAGCCTTTTGCTCAACTATTGATCACGCCAGATTATGCACTCTTTCCCAGAAACTGTAACTAATGTCCGCTCAGTATAGTTGCAATATAAACCACAGATTTCGACTATTCTATCGGCCATTATCAAGGATGCATTTTTTTATATTTTTAACTGAATGTGTAGATTTTTATGCAATTTTCTTGTGTTCGTATAAATGATTTATTTTAAGGACATAAAATCTGCAAAAATTGTCCGAATGTGCATTCATTTTCTTACATTTTCTTAATTTCTTTCTTGTTTCGCCTTTACTTTTCTACTTCGTTGTTTCTCTCTTTCTCTTTCACTTTACATCTATTTTATCTTTTTCTCCCCTTCTTTCTGTCTTTCTTTTTGCTTTCTACTATTCCAGCAGTCAATTATTTTCCATCCTCCTCCCTCTTTCTTTCTTTCTTTCTTTCATTTTTTCTTTCTGCCATAGACTTCGTTCTTTTCTTTCTGAATGCCTCTACATTTCCAGATTCTTTCCTTCATCTTTTCTTTCTTTCTTTTCTCGCTATCAGTCTTTTAAAAATATTATTTAAAAAAAAGAAAGAAATTCCTTAACAATATTTTTATTACTTTCCTAAACGTGCTAAGATGAGCGGTGACGCCGATATGTGTCAAACACAGAAAGAAAGACATTTATGAAGAAAGAAAGAAAGAAAGAAAAAAAGAAAGAAATCAAGAAAGAAAAATTAAATAAATAAACAATGGCGATGCAACAAAGAAAGAAAGAAAGAAAGAAAGAAAGAAAGAAAGAAAGAAAGAAAAATGAAATAAATAAACAATGGCGATGCAAGAAAGAAAGAAAGAAAGAAAGAATGAAAGAAAGAAAAGAAAAGAAAAATGCAATAAATAAACAATGGCGAAGCAATAAATGAATAAAGAAAGAACGAAAGAAGCGAAGAAAGAAAGAAAATATTAAATAAATAGAAAAAACAGAGTCGAATCAGGAAAGAAAGAAAGAAAGAAAAAAGAAAGAGAGAAAGAAAGAAGGAAAGAAAGAAAGAAAGAAAATATTAAATAAATAGAAAAAACAGAGTCGAATCAGGAAAGAAAGAAAGAAAGAAAGAAAGAAATAAAAAGAAAGAGAGAAAGAAAGAAGGAAAGAAAGAAAGAAAATATTAAATAAAAAAACAGAGGCGAATCAGGAAAGAAAGAAAGAAAGAAAGAAAGAAAGAAAATATTAAATAAATAGAAAAAACAGAGGCGAATCAAGGAAGATAGGAATAAAGAAAGAAAGAAAGGAATAAAGAAAGAAAGAAAAAAATACTTAAAAGCCTGAATAAATGAAAAATCAATTAAACAGGAAAAAAAGAAACGATGAAAAAAAGCTTCACCAATGAAATTATAAAAAGACAGAAGAACCAACAGAACTACAAGAGAAAAAGGTAAATTCGAAAATAAATAAATAAAACTAAAACAATGAAATAAATTATTCAAAAACTAGCATCAAGATTAACTCTAAATGAAAAATGGAAGAAAAGTGTTGAACAAGAAAAAAATAACAGTGAAAAATAAGAAAAAAAAAACAAAATAAGACGATGCAGAAAATGGCTGACAGAGCGTCGCAGTTTTTTTTTTTTGCAGGTCCTTGTCAACAGGATTGTCTTACAGACGATATGTAATGAAGACATTGGTTCTAATTATGGGCATGCGCACAAAGGCCTCGAATGCTTGTCTGTTCACTTGTGTGAACATGATGAGCCTCGGATACTGACAAGTCAAGTTTCCTGCCGCACAGGCGCTGATGTCGACGTTGAACTTTGGTATTCACAATATGGAGGAGAATGTTCAGCACTTGGAATGTCAAAGTGCCAATCAAAAGATAAAACATCGTACAAGGTACGTAGGGATAGTGGCAAGCGTCGAAGGGAAAGAGAAACTGAAGAGCGATGAAAGAGGGGAAAGTTAAGTAGAAAATAAAAAGAAAGGAAGCAGAGATTAGGTTTCGACCCGAAGAGAGTGAGAAAAGAAAAGAAAATATAAGTTACACACTGTTTATAATAGTGAGTGAAAAAAATAATTTAAGAAGGTGTGTGTCTTTGTAGTTTTGCATGCGTGTGTATATGTTAAGAAAGAAAGAAAGAAAAAAAGAAAGAAAAAAAGAAATAAAGAAACAGAATTGACTCTTGAACTATATGATTCTTTCCTAGGGTCGGCTTTGTCTGACAAAAGCCAACATTCACTGGATTTCCTTCGTCTTATTTGAATATAATATCAAGAAGTTTCGAGAATATATAACGAATGACTAGACGGAAAGAAATTAACTATATATATATATATATATATATATATATATATATATATATATATATATATATATATATGCAACAGACAGAGAAACGACAGAGATGGATATCCGGCTACTACCCGTTTCCGATCAGACCCTGTACTTGGGCAGCTATTAAATCGCTATTACAGACGACTGCTCAACCGACATAGTCCATATATGTTTGATGCTGCAACTAACACTGAGCGGGCCTTACAGCCTTTGGGAGAGAGCGCATAATCTGGTGTGATCATTTTTCTGAAGAAGGCCAGTGTGCTGAAACGCCACAGTTACTCTCGCAACAGTTGACGGCTACTAAATGGCTTCGTCTGGCCACTTTCGCTCACAAGGTTTGGGTTAACATGTGATATTGTTTTTAGGCACTTTGCAAAGGACGCTTGAATGGCATCTGAAGCCGATTACAATGGCAACTACCTGACAAATCGATCACAGTGAAATTCGAACACGTGGCGTATATATATATATATATATATATATATATATATATATATGTGTGTGTGTGTGTGTGTGTATGTGTGTATGTGTGTGCGTGTCTGTGTGTGTATACATATCTATATATATGTATACATATATAAATATACTGGTAAATATTTATATTGAAATATATATATATATATATATATATATATATATATATATATGCACATTATATATATATATAATCGACTCTCCCGTCGAGATTCGACGTATGAGGGTCAAGCAGATCAGTTTTCTAGGAAACCGACAGCCCAACACCGGCACATGAGATTTGATTATAGTGGTGAAGGCCTCGTGCAGGACCATCCACACTTTTTGAAGGGACGAATACAGAGACCTGGTGCACTGAGTGCCACAAGGTTCCCAAACGACCCTCCGCAGGTTTTTTGAATTATATATATATATATATATATATATATATATATATATATATATATAATCGACTCTCCCGTCGAGATTCGACGTATGAGGCTCAAGCAGATCAGTTTCCAGGAAACCGACAGCCCGCCACCGGCACATGAGATTTGATTATAGTGGTGAAGGCCTCGTGCAGGACCATCCGCACTCTTTGAAGGGACGAATACAGAGACCTGGTGCACTGAGTGCCACAAGGTTCCCAAACGACCCTCCGCAGGTTTCGAATTCAGAGTTGTCCTTCTCCTAGACCAGTTGCCATCCATGGCTATAGAACCCAGTCTGTCCTGCTATTTTACCCATATGACGTCACACATTATGAAATGGACAAAGTCCGACAATTATTTGTATCTAAAAAGAATATATACACATAAAATGTCTTATATATATGACGATTGCGACCTGACGATTGCGTGTAGCATGAAACAGCTTCTCGCCTCCGAATGTTGACCTCAATGTTCACATTTATATATATATATATATATATATATATATATATATATATATATATATATATATGGTGATGAATGGAACTATATATAAATATTCGCTATAAATATTCACAAGGCATCGAGAAATCTCTGAAATATACTTTGATAAATAACTAACTAGTTAGCTAGCTAGAGCGATAATGAATAGAAAGAGGCAGACAGATAGATAGATAGATAGATAGATAGATAGATAGATAGATAGATATGAACAGACATGCATAAGATAGATAGATAGATAGATAGATAGATAGATAGATAGATAGATAGATAGATAGATAGATAGATAGATATATTGAGTTATGGGTACACCCATTTTGATACATTGATGATTTGATAAATTAAATCCACCGTGCTTTTAAATATCAACCGTCACCAAGAGATGTGAAATGAACATAATTTCCGGCAATGAATTGGTTGTCTTCTGCTACGTATTCCCCAACCTATACTCTCTGTAGTTCGGTTACTTTTACAAAGATACAATTTACTTCCTGAGAGTGAAAATTGTACGAATAACCTTCATAGAGTTCTGTCTCCGCAACATTTTATCAATGTCATATTAACCCGCCCAGTCGACCCACTGCCAATTTATATTGAAAAGAGAAAGAACGTAAAGCAAGAAAATCAATTAATCATTCGCGGTTTGGCGTGTTTCAACAGCGCACAGGATATTTTCTTCTAATATTTAGCAAATTGCAAGTAATCAAATACATTTCTGAATACCTATAACCCGTAACTTCAAGATAACTGGAGCTTTAATTGCATTTGTGTACCAACTAATAATTACTGTATTTGCCGGCCTATTGGACACGGATTTTTTAAAAAGAAAAATGCATAAATATTTACCATGCATCCAGTATCATACAAGACAAGGATATGAAGACCAAGAAAAAGCTGAGGTTCACCAGGAATCAGTGCACAGATAGAGCTTAGCTCTGAAACTAGGATTCCTGGAAGAGAGCGAACACGATATCAATAAAAATATCCATGAAAATTCACCCAGGAAAAAGAAATTAAACACCTTACGGAATTGCACAATATTTTGCTTCATGATTTGTAGAAATATGAGATTTTACAGAAATATGAAACTTTACAGAAATATTTGCTTTGAATGATATATTGCTACTTGCTTCGTGTGTTTTTGTTGATATACAGATATTGGGATTTGCTTTTCTGCATGTGTTGGATGGGACATCATTTACCAACAAGTACCATATTGCTGTTTTTTGCCTGTTACCATATGTACCAGTATTCATTGATAACAGTAGATTTCTTGTAGATGTTATGAATCTACTGTATGTGCAGATGTTGCTTCCTGAAAAACATCTAAAAAATTTTTTCAATAAATGCACGATAAAATGTACTAAAATTCTTCTTTTCCAAAAATGTCCTGGTTTTTAAATTTAAGTATAATTTCTGTTAATACTGTAAGTATTTTTCATGATTAGTGAGAATGTCACATAAAGGTAAGTAATTTTTCTTTTTTTCTTTTTGACGTATATTTTCTTATACCATGCCAAAATTTCGGTGCGTCCAAAGCATGGGTTCGTTCAATCGGCCGACAAATACAGTACAATGTAACCCGGATATAAGAGAGTTGTCGGGACCGGAGAAGAAGTCTCTTATATCCGGGTTTCTCTTATATCCGGGTTTGGTCTATTTTGTTTAGGTAAGTATGGGCTATAATTTGGGACCAGAGAAAATCTCTCTTATATCCGGGTTACACTGTAATTATATTTGTTTACTGAAAATAAAATGGAATCTATTTTTGCTTCTTTGTATTTTCGAAAGTTAAAATTTCAATTTTTTAATTTGATATTTCAAAATAAAACATTTTAGTTATATTGTAACAGTAAAAGAACATCAAAAACAAATTATTACAAAAAAAAAACAGTAAGAAAAAATTAATTAAATAATATATAATTTTTTTTTAAATAGAATATTTGCAAAACCCACACAATGCCCCAATAAACAAAAAATGAGGTGGAAGAAAAGTGGGTAATATCCACTGACGTGATGTTTCTATAATTTAATTGTTCCCAATTGTTGGGTTGATTGGGTCCACTCCCAACCTCTACGGAAGGGTTGCTAGATATATAGATAGATAGATAATGAATAGAATGAGATAGATAGATAGATAGATAGATAGATAGATAGATAGATAGATAGATAGATAGATAGATAGATAGATAGATACTATTTGAGTTGTTAATATTAATTAAAGATATGGTACGAAAAATGATGTCTGCTTTTGTTGCGAATTCTGGATCTGTGCTTTATTGAATCTCAATATTATTTCCAAATTTTTGCATCGTAAAGCATTCTAACAATTGCCTCCATTTTTGACAGCAAGGGTACTAGTAATAATTATAATTTCTTCTCTCAGTCATTAACTTCAAAGTTTATCATTTAAATCTGATAATGCACTGGTAATAATAATAATAATAATAATAACGTGTGTTCACGAGTAAAAGACTAATTGCCAGAATGGATAAAATGTGAACTTAGTAATTTGGAATGGAACAAATAATAGACTCATTCCGTCATTGGCCGAAATTAACTATGGGTTGTATTCCTCAAACGTGTGAAATCAGCTTAAGGTCCAAAGATATGTTCCTGGTATTCCCCAAATTCTGATAATAGACATCGTCAGTGAATAATTTCAAGTGAAGATGTTCCCTCAGTCACCATCTACTATTAACCAAACGGATGTATAAAATAGAATAGAGAGCACCTATAGAAGATTTTTTTTCCGAGTATATTGTTAATCCATACGCTAACAATGCAGAAAATTCCTGAACATCAGGAAAATACAGACACTGATAAACTAGCTAATGCCAAACGAAACATCATTATACGATTGAAAAAATGCAGAACTTGCTGAAGTAGAAGAGAATATTAAAGCAGAATTGAAATTAAAGTTTAATAGAATCTCAAATATCGGAAATGTAAAAACATAAATCAATATTATGAATAATAATGGAAATGAAAATTCGATAAGAAAATATGTTTAAATATGGACAAGAAAATCAGGAAGAGCGGAATTCATTAAGGTATAAAGAAAACCACACAGGTAACGAGTAATTTTAAAAATGGAGGCAAATGTAACAGAATTGATAAAAAAAAATAATAAAGCACACGACACTGAAGAAAAGAAAAATTTTAACAAAATGGTATATGACAAGAAATCGAAAACAAAAATTCAGATTGTAAACAAAATAATCATTGAAATAATAAATTAAATCGTTCTTAATTTAATCACCTTGAAATCGATAATATACGCTGTAGCAACAGTAATAACATCAATTTAAAAAAAAAAAGATTTAAACCAAAGCTAAAATATTGAATGAAAATAAAGTTTCACTATGGTATAAGAAATATAAATTGTATGGCGATACATCAAGCTTTCAAAGATAATGCAGATACTCTGATGGGCTCTTAATTTCTAAATTCCAGAAATATTCATGGTACATTTTGATTAGGGGTAAAAGAGCAACGTTGGTTTTTTCGTCCAACAAAAAGGTTTCCTCAAAATTCTGAAAGGCGTATTTAGAGCTTTATCTGTAGGTTATATAAGGGGTGGGGGCCTTGTATTCGATTTTCAAAGTCGACAAACAGCTGGTACGGGAATCCAGGTCGCCTCAGCCCAGAAGGAAAATGACACAGAACAATTTAAACAGGAACCAGACGATAATTGAAAATAACAACTCCTGTCCTTCCCACTTCAAAGAAAAGTCTTCTGCTGGTGTGCTTGATTTAATCTTCGCAGTTAACACGAACGGTCCTTTAAAAAAGTGTACGAAATTTCTCTTTGGAAACTACACAGAGAAGTATTTCTCTTTTTCTTCACCTTATGTAGTTTTCTTTTCTGAAGAGCTTCTGATGCAGCAATTCAATTTTAATTTTTGTTTCATTTCATTGATAATTTGCATGTTATTGGCCCTCATTAGGCACAAAAAGGATTAAATTTGTATAATTATTTTCTTGTGTGTTAATAGATAGTATCATTGTTTCTCTATATTTCTGAGATGAGATATTATGTACGTTATTTACATTATTCGGACTATTGTCCTCATCTTTGTCGCCATATTTATTACAATGTTTCGGCCGTTGTACGCTCCGGCCTCCTTCAAGTGGTTAGAATGTCGAACTGAACCCTTTATTTCGCTCACTGGGGTAGACTGTTCTAGTTCTCTTTATTCCGCTCACTGAGGTAAACTGTTCTAGTCCTCAAGGACACATGGCACAGTGGATAAAGGCGTTGGTTAGATCCAGTGAAAAGACACAAAAGAGTGTGAGTTCAATACCTGGTTAAGGCAGTGTAGAACTTTCAGAGGAAAATTAACAGGAGATAACTGATAACTGACATCCATCAAACATGGCACGTGGCAACTAGAACAGTCTACCCTAGTGAGCGAAATAAAGGGCTCGGTTCGACATTCAAACCACCTGAAGAAGGCCGGAGCGTACAACGACCGAAACGTTGTAATCAATATGGCGACAAAGATGAGGACAATAGTCCGAATAATGTAAATAGTGTATCATTGTTTTTAAACTCGGCTCATGTCGTCTGTGTCATTTACTGATAAATTGTTGTCACCTCAAACATTTTTTTGAACTATTATTATTCTTGGGACTATTTCTACCAAAATAATCCTATAGTGGCACGGTAAGGCATAAAAAGAGATTGAAATTCACGAAAATAACTCAATTTTTAGATGAAGTAACAATAGGAATAAAAGTAAAACCAAAATTATGATATTATTAGAAAGAAAACTAAAATATAATATAAAAGGAGGAACTAAGCTACCAACAATGTTAATATTAGCTATTTCCCTAGAAGGAAACATTCGGTATTCATTGACCGAGCAGCCATTAATACTTTCAGTTGAAATTTATAAAATCTTTTAATTAAAACAATTTTTCAAGAAAATATGTTTCTCAATAACAGTAATGATACCGGGTTTGCCAGGACTAATTGGGGGAGGGGGGGTCATTCAATACCTTTTATTTGAAGTAGTGTGGTTATATCATTATTTTCTCTTTGGGTTACGTTGGATAATCATTTTAATTGTTGCCGCTGTTGGTAGTCCTCAGGTGACGTGGTTTCTATTATTTGGCAGAGTTCTTTTTGATTCTGTAGCAAAGAACTATAGTCTTAGCCAAGATACACAAGCTTCACTCACTCAAAGCCATTTTTAACCATTGATCTTAGAAAACGGTTGTATACAGCTAACATTTTAGACATTTTTGAACGGGTTTGGCGCCATGGATGACATGTATATGAAAGGCTCAAGCTAACGAGGCCGTCAACCTCCATTATTGACAAGAAGATTCAACAAGCTCGAGAGCTGCTAATGGTGAACCGAGAAGCTATCATCGATGAGGTAGGATGTTCTCTAGAGATTCGGAACAATGCTCTTTGTCCCTCGGTGCACACTGCTAGTGGAGCGGCCATGATTACACTGTAACAGCAGCAAGGAAGATGCCGTGATCGAAGCTCAAACTTCGATCGCGTGACCCCAATAGTAACAACTATAAATACGCATGAACATGACTCAAGTTGTCAGGTAGATGTTTTTGTTCTACAGTAATTTGTGGCGTTGGACGAAACTAATTCTGGCACAGCCTATTCTATGTTCAATTTTCTTTTCTCCTATAATAAATTTGTTATAACTGACCCATAAGCCGAGGTATTTGAAATGTTTGGCATTTACTAATTCTACATATATATATTTTTTTTATGTTGGATTCAGGTTAGGTGCCAGCACTGCTTTCATTCCAGTTTTAGATCAAAGCTTGATGAAAGTATAAAACAGAGAATCCAGGTAAAGGCGGAAAGAAAAATAAGTTAGGAGAAAAGGAATACGCTTTAAATTATAAAATTTTAAAGTCGGGACGCTATTTTGAAGTATTACATGAAATACACGATAAAGAAACCGGGAAAATAATATAAAGGTGAGATTATTTTGAAATAAGATTTGGAGGAATGAACAAAATTACGAAGATAAGTCAAACATTATCTACACTTTTGCTATTACATATCTTCTGCACATGTTTCCTTACAGTTGGTACTATTGGTGCCACCTGATCGAAGTTCGAGCTTCATTTTGTCAGTTTTCTTACTGCTGTTACAGTGTAAATGTGGCCGTTCCGCGAGCAGTGTGCACCAAAGAGGAACCAAGAGCATTAGTATGATTTCCCTGCTCAGAAGGTGTTTCAAGTATCGGAGGCTTTTAACATTATACGGCGAGAGTGCACTGTCGCGTAGAAGTGGGTATGAATGGATTGAGAAGCCTAAAAGTGTCCGGACAAGCGTGACGCACGAAGAACGAGCATTACGTCCGTCAACCTCCATTATTGACAAGAAGATTCAACAACCTCGAGAGCTGCTAATGGTGAACCGACAAGCTATCATCGATGAGGTAGGATGTTCTCTAGAGATTCGGAACAATGCTCTTTGTCCCTCGGTGCACACTGCTAGTGGAGCGGCCATGATTACACTGTAACAGCAGCAAGAAAGATGCCGTGATCGAAGCTCAAACTTCGACCGCGTGACCACAATAATATCAACTATAAATACGCATGAACAGAAGGCAGTGTGACAAACCTAAAGATATGTTATCGCAAAAGAACGGATATTTTTTTTTAACTTTCCCTCGTATAAAAATGATACAGTTAAAAAAAAACAAAACAAAAAAAAACACCGAACAATATGAGAATCAACTGAAATGCTCATGGGTTGCCCAAGATACTCACATGAAATGTGATCAAATCTTTCACTTAAAACAATTTTTCAGGAAAATAAGTTTCTAAATAACAGTAATGGTATCGGGCTTTCCAGTACTAATTGGGGGGGGGCATTCATAGCCTTCTATTTGAAGTAGTGTAGTTATATCATTATTTTCTCTTTGAGCGACGTGGGCTATCCATTTTAATTTTTGCCGCTGTTGGTAGTCCTCAGGTGATGTGGGTTTTGTTTTTTGTGTTCTTTTTGATTCTGTAGCGCCAGTCCACATTGTTCAAAGAAGTATAGTACTTGCCAAGATATACAGGTTTCACTCTCTCAAAGCCATTTTGAACCATTGATCTTAGAAAGCCTGTATATCTTGGCAAATACCATACTTCTTTCTTACAGTCCACGCCCCTCTTTCATCGATGGCGCAGTGCTTGGATCCAATTTGTGAAGAAGCTTTCATCCTCTTGGTAAAAAATAAAATAATCAGCAGAGATATGACGTCATCTTCACTGCGATACTAGTTCCAAGCCAAGTGTTTTTTTTTTTCATGTTGGGGAACAGATCATAGTCTGATTGGGCCATATCAGAAGAGTAGGGAGGGTGATCAACCAGTTCAAAGCCACTGTCATGCCCAGCAGCCATTGAAACTTGTGTGCTGGAGCATTGTCCTGATGAAACAAAACCCCTTTCTTAAGTTTTCCTGAGCATTTTGTCTTAATAATCATTCGTAACTTGACATAGTGCACTCCATTGATGGTGTGGCCCTTTTAAAGATAGCACTCAGTTAACCAATTATTGGATGTTAAAGTTTGTATAAAAGCATAATTCCAACAAAAAAGACTAATTTAATTTTTGTTTAATCATTTCAACCCAAGCAAGGCAATAAAGCCACTAGGACGCACGGGATTACTGAGCGTCGGAGAATATGAGAAAAAGGAAACATTATCAAGGAGAGTGAAAGAACAATAAAAGAACAATGATTAAGAAGACAAGAAAACGATTGCTTTCAAATTTTCAAATTGCTCAAATTTGACTAGAAAGCAACAAGCCTGAAGGGAGTACCACAAGCGAGAAGTGTGACTGAAGAAACATTTAGCAAAGAATTTACGGCTATACCAAGCCATTTCAACTGTAAAATGATGAGACCTATCTGCCAATCTTGTCGTGCACTTAAATTCATAAAATCTAGAAGCCAAATTGGAAAATTCATCAAAACAATTACATTGACAATATTTATAGAAAAGGCACATTATATTACGGTGGTGGGAAAGTGACGGAAGCCGAGATGCCAGGTCAGGATCAATAATATTGCAGATTATCAAAGAAATCTAAACATTCAAGGCAACTGTACAACTATAAAAGCAACATGAGACACGGGGTAAAAAAAAACGCACAGGAATTAATTATAAAAAAAAAAGCAAAAAGAAAAGGCATAACCAACCAGAAAACCTGATGAAGTAAGCAACCATTTTACATAACCAATACATATTGTGAGCACAAGACCCTGATGTTCACAAAAACCTTGCCCATCAAGGGTTGCAGAATTCTGGGTTGAAACCAAAAACAAACAGTTTTATCCGAGCGAATCAATAATCAAAATCCACCAACAAATCCTTACCAAGCGGATATTTTAATGAATATGACAGATCAAAAATTATGCTTTTGTACAAAGGCTGCTAACGAGACTATTGTCTATTATCGGAGATAATATTTTCGTGTAAAAAGACAGAAAAGACATACCAGGAACGCTATTTCGTTTCAGTGACAAAGTAAAAGATAGATAGAGAAATATATAATGTACAGACTGAGATAGATAGATAGATAGATAGAGATAGATAGATAGATAGATAGAAGTGTTTAACATCTGCTGGCAATGCCTCATAAATAATGAACTATTCCGTTTCGATCGCGTGGAAAAATAAAACGCATATCAGAGACGCTACATGGTTTCAGTAAGAAAATGAAAGAAAGAAAGAAAGAAAGAAAGAAAGAAAGAAAGGGGAAATTTTTAACATCTGTTTCAGTGAAATGAAAAATTTGTCAATTTCAAATCTTTTCATTTGTACCCGCTTAATTCTTAAAACAACGACCAGCGTTCATATTTATAATTGTTATTGCAATATTTTGTTCAAGTCGTTCAGCTTAAATATTTAACGGTGCGATAGGAGAATTTCTACAGATATTTTATTGTCGTAGAACTCGCCATGAGTTTATTCATTCATTAACGGAAAAATTAAGTTTCATCAGAACATTCAAATAGGTAAACCGTGACTTAATAATAATAATAATAATAATAATAATAATAATAATAATAATAATAATAATAATAATAATCTTTCTCTTGTTTCTATCAACAGCAGTGTTAAATAGTTCTATTTCTTAATCTATTAAATAATGTCAGAGTAAATGTATAAATATTTTAGCAAGGTACTTCTGTTTCATATTACTATGACAATGTTAAATACTAATAAACACATATCTAAATAATTGTAAAAGGGATAACAAAAATTCAAAGTAAAATTATCAGAAAAAATAAGAAAACGCACGTCATGCAACGGAAATCAAAAGTATGGCGAGGTTATCTCCCTTTGCTTTTTCCGCTAACCTTAAATGCAATATGTATTTGTTACGGGAAAGAAAGTGAAATATTTGGATTATTCCCCTTTGGACGGTTACTCTCTATGCTTTAAGTTACAAAATCACACTGATCGTAGCGAAATTAATTGCCTTTTGGCCGTAATTTTTTTTTTAAAGACTAAGAAATTATGCATTTCGTCACGTAATTTGTGTAACTATGAAAAACAACTTGGCTATTTCATTTTACATGTTTTTACTGATAATTCTTATTAATTCTGCATCAAATTTATTCATTATGAACATATGTAAGAAGAGAAGATGCCACAATTGTGATTATATAAAGATTAAATTTTTCTTCATATACGTTTATATTTATCTATATTTACGAACATTTATTCCTTTTCAGTATTGATAATAGGAATAAGATATCAGATGCTGATTTTCAAAGTAAACACCCCTTGTAAGCCTGGCAAATTGTTACACTACTATTTGGGGCCGAATTTACTCACGCACATATACATATAAACATAAATATTTATACATACACGTATTTTTATTAATTTAAAGGTTATCTATCTATTCTACATTTCTCTCTCTCTCTCTCTCTCTCTCTATATATATATATATATATATATATATATATATATATATATATATGTGTGTGTGTGTGTGTGTTATATATATATATATATATGTGTGTGTGTGTGTGTGTGTGTATTTCATTCTTTTAATTATCTATCTACCTATCCAACGAAATATAAATATAAAATAGTGTACAGAGAATGCTGGGGTAATAAAACAGTGCTCTATGTAAAATAACACTGATAGATAGATAGATAGTTTGAACCAAAAGTATATATATATGAACAGATATATAAGAGTGAACAAACAGTACATAAGATACAAATATTTTTATGTTTATACATTCTTTTTATAGATACAAATATTTGAGTAAATGCTCTGTTCATAATAAACAGTATTAAACAACATTTACCGGCCTGAATATCCGAGAAATTCTCACAGAATATATTCGTCCTCCGACAGGATTCGAACCTATATCCTATACGGAACCGTCATTTAGCTTGACGTGCCTTGACGTTACCGGCTACCTTTTCTTTAATTACTTTCTGATGATTCACAACCTGTTCCTCATTTTTTTTTTCTCTTTCTTATCCCAGCATTCTTCAACTTTTATTTCTTTCCTGCGGCATTTCTACCTCATCTTCATCTTTTAAAATTCTCATCCTTCCGATCTGTTTTACTTCCAACTCAGTATTTATTTCTCAGAATCCAATACATTTTCGCTTAACCACTTGTATCGTTCATGCATTCCTATCACTCGGAAAACCTACAACGTCAAGTAGCATATTGTGGGGATCAGCAAGTCTCCGATTGTCTCCTTTTTGCGAACCACTTCAGTGTCGGTAACGATTCCACCTGCAAGCTGCCACTTCTTATGAATTTTACTTGTATCTCATATGAGGCTTCAATAGACTCTTAACTGAATAGGATACTTGTTCAACCTTTTACCTCTGGCTATAAAGAATAGTTTTTTTTTCTTTTACATATACATCTATTTGAGTTAAGAGATCCTTAACTGAAATTCTAAAATGGAAATTCGAATATTCAGAAAGATTTATAAGCGTCTAAATAAATGAATATTTCTGAGAGAAATAAATTAAAATTTAAAGAAAATTTCAGTTTCTTCCCCGTACATAATAAAATTCATAAAAAAGCATCAATGCTTATCAGAATAGATATAGATATGCTTGTTGATGGAACCACCCACTAATTGATCACGCCTTTATGTGTATAACCGTACTCAACACGCTTGGCCAATTGCGGGTTAATGAGTATATATTTAACCCATAGTGGGAGGTTTTTAAATTCAGAGTTGTCCTTCTCCTATAAAGGTTGCCTCCTAAGGATATAGAAACCAGTCTGCCCAACTATTTACTAACAGCTTGGGAGAAAAGAAATGAATACATACATTCCTCAAGGTTGATTTGATTTGCTTTTTTACAGTTTATCAATCTTTTTCAGGTTATTTTAAGTCGAAACATATTTTGGGATTGTAAGAGTTTTGGGGGAGATAATAATGATTTTCTGATACAAGTCTTAATATTTAACCCATAGCTGGGAGGATAAGTGTTGATTAGAATGGGCCAATTGTATCCCACGCAGAAGGCTAAGACCCCACCAAAGTCAGTATCTTTCGCGTAGATTTTATTATAAATCATACAAATGCCTGCCTTTTTACTCTTTTCTTCATTAATTGATCTTTTCTAGGGCTTATCAACCTTCTGCATATTATTATTTAAGACAGAAAATATTTTTAAATTGTAAGAATTGTTGAGGACGATAATAATGGTTTAGCGATACAAGTCTGACTAATTAACCCATAGCTGGGGGTAGAAAAGGCGGATTCATAACTTTCCTAACGGTATTTGTGTTGTTCATGATGACGGTCGTCTTCGAGTATAGAATCCAGAGGTTAGCAGTGAATATTTCGAAGACAGTAGGAAAGCGTTGTTCAGGTTAGCAGTGGATATTTTGGTAAAAGTAGCAGAGCGTAGTTCGTCCTTCTGTTCCTCTTCGCCTGATAAGCTGGCACTGGACATTCGGATAGAGTAAACAAAATGGCCGCCTTTATACACTACGGATTGAATGTTCTACGTCTTCTGACTGGTTAACCTTCTATTGGTGGACTATAAAGTGAGTCAAGTCATTTGGGCTAGCTCACTAGTAGATACATATACACAAAAAACTGCAACAATTTGCACGTAAGTGAATATAACGAACTCGACTGAAATGGGAACACCACTATTCAATTTCTCATTCTGAGCCTTTATAAATTACACCGACCGCGTCAATCTAGGTGACCAGGTTTAAGGTTGCTTAACTTCAGTGATCGGAGGGTATTGGCACGTAAGTGAACGCAACAACCTCGATTGGATTTGATTCCTCAATCTGATCCGCTATCCATTACTCCATTCTGCCTATGCGTTCATAACTCTTTTTTTTAAATCAGTATCACCCCCATGCAAGGCAGCAAAGCCACTAAGACACAAGTGGTTAGAGGGTGGGGAAAAATTAGGAACAGAAACATTACTAATGAGCGGAAATATAAAAGAGTAATCAAGCGGACAGTTATAGCGATTGACATTGCATTTAATTTTTGCAGATTGAAATTAGCTGGAAAGCATGGAACCAGAAGCAGGATAAGAAACTGTTAGCAAAGCGAATCTGTTAGAAACTTACGGTTACATTTCGCCAGCTCAAATGTAAATTGATGAGATCGCGACACCAGTCTAGTACTGCGCTTAAATTTTTAAAAAAAGTCCAGCTACCAACACGAAGAGTTCATCCGAACAAGTGCAGTGAAAGTATTTATAAGAAAAACAGAAAGAGGTAACCCATACGGCGGTAGTAAAGCGACTGAAGCCTAGCAGCCAGATCAGGACCAATAATATTGCTGATTTTTCTTTGAATCCTATCAAGACGCTGAAGGTAAATTGCACCGACGTAGGATCATATGAGGAAGCAATTTTGTAAGTATGGACGAATGGTAGACCTATAGATAGGTAAGATAGATTCTGGAGAGAAAAATTGCCTCGCCCGACACAGAGAACCATCTTTCTTAGCAGCTAACCAAGCAATGGGTTCATTATAGTTTTCCACTTCAGGTCAGCTACGGACGTTAACCGGAGAAGGCGCAACTAGTCATTTTCCTAGAGGTTAGCATCAGCCATGTTGATGGAAAACAGAGAGTGGTTTTTCAGATCATAAACTGAGAGAAGTTTAGTTTTGGAAGTGTTAAAATTAACAAACCATATTTTACCCCAGTTAACCAGGTACTTAAGGTCATTTTGGACATCGGCGACCATTTTTATCTTGTCTGACTGATCAGCCTTACTATCGAGGCAAGTGTGTTGTGTCATCAGCGTAGATGCCACGTTGAGAGCTTATGCCATCAGGAAAGTTATTAATGAAAATTAAAAACAAAGTAGGGTTAAGGATGGATCCCGGGGCGTTAGTACGAAAGAATCTAGACGAGTGGCCGTTCAGGAAAACTTTCATTTTACAATTTGATAGGAAAGACTGGACCAGTTAAAAAAAAAAAAAGATGTCGGAAAGACCGTAACTTTTCAGCTTGTGTAGAAAACCTGAATGCTAGACATTGTCAAAGGCTTTCGAGATGTCCAATGCTACAGTTCAGGAATTAACCATTTTTATCTAGAGCATAATAAACTCTTTCTGCAATTATTGTGAGTACATCAGCAGTTG